TGTTTGAAATTGTTAAGTAACTAACTTTGGTAAACTAAGTTTTGCTGTGGAGTATCATAGATGACAACTAAATATTGAAAATACATCTACAAAGTGTTTAGAAAGTACACAGCACTTTATTTTGTTGACAAACAGTGTTGTATGTATTTGTGTTTTTGCTATCATGCTAAAGCTGATTGTGCATTCTGAGTAGCAATATGACACACAATATTGACTTTAGGCCTGGTTGTTTTTGTTTCAAATAAGTGCTTCATACCTGCTTCAGTGGGTAAAGATGAATAACAGACATAAATATTTGATGAATATGAAACAAGCTAGAACTCAAAGAAATTCTGGTATTGTTTCTCCATTTCATATTTCCCAGTAGTTATTTTCATTGTATAAATGGGCAACAAAATTTGTTTGCTGTTATTAACTCTCTCAACACGAGCTCAGTCAGTTTGACCGACCACATTAGCTCTTTGTCCTCGTTTGAAGTCTTTATAGATTTAATGCTTCTAACTTTCAATATAATGTGTATATCTTCACAACATTTGGCAGTCTTACACGTATAAAAAATCATATTTTTTAGTGAAGTATTTTTAATAAAATAAAATAAAGATTTGTCCATGAATATATTGAGTATTTGTTTTGAATAGTCCGTGTGCAAAGTAATTTTCATGTTAAAATTAAAAATACTTTTCCTCATTTCAAAAATCTCAAATTTCCTTTGTGTAATCCCTAAAACCTCCTAAATGCATTTGAAACGTTTTTGTTTTTCAGTAAAACTTTATAGTTTATCTGTTATTTTTCGACCTCATAACCACCAAAATAAATCTAAATTACCCTTTTATTCTTTCTAGAATGACTTCAAATTATAACATGAAACTACATTCATTTATCCTAAGTGGCTCTAAGTTTGTAACAGTTTACATTTATTTATAATTAAGTTTTATTGTTTTATTGTCCTTTGAACTGTGTCTTAACTATTATCTGTGCCATTATAAGTTATAAATGACTTGGGGAATGTGCAGCTCACGTTATTACATTACCTACAAGCTACTATGAGCTGCTCGCGAGTGTGTCTCGTGAAACATATTTATTATAATATTATTTATTTTGCCTAATCTAATCTTAACTAACCTAAAAGGATTCCTATTTTAACATTTTAGTTAATTTTATAATTATACATAAAGAAAAAACATGAAAAACAAGAAATAAAATACATAACCAATTTTCTTTTTTTTTGCTGTCGATTGTAAAAGAGAGTTAACCCTAATATTTTTATACTAATGATAGTAATACACTTAATAATTTTTATTTGATTAAATAATTCACCAAAGAACATAGACTAATAACATGCAAAAAGTAGACAAATTCCCTTATCTGTCATATTTTTTCTGGCTTTCTAACTATGTGACAAGTCGTTACAAATTCATCCAAGTTAGTCGTTAGCTTTCACACGGGAAAGGTGTTGGTACTCTTAGTGAAATTGACATTTAAGTGTTCAGAGCATAACATCATACAGTATGTCATTTGATAGATAAAAACCTTGACTTTCTATTGGTTATAGGTAATATATAATTAAATATAAGAGAGAACTATTAACAAATTCTGAAAGAGAGTATGTGACAGGTAGGTGTGGCAAAAGGGGGTCTGATTTTCTATTCGATAGCTGTTCTGACCAAAAAAATTGAAGATTATAAAAATTATGGTTTATCTGAGTAATGACAATTTTATAGAGAATAATTTACATTTAATTTCATACTTTTTCAAGGGGTGGTGGATAATATAGAGAAGATGACATGCTACTGTTTTATGCTATTCTAATTGGTATAACATAAACAAAAAGTTGTTTAATAAAATTTTGAATGTAAGAAAATAAAACCTTGTGTTATGCGCAGTAAGGGATACCCGTGGCGATAGGGTTAAACAAAGACAGACAGTTGTAGTTATTTTATTGATGATTTAGGCACACATGACAAGAAAAAAAAAAAAAACTTTTACGATGGAAAGATGTATTTTCTGTTATTTTCTCAAAACTTATTTCTTGGCAAAAGTTCTGAAATTTCACAACCTAAGACGTGATACAGTTATTGAATTAAATTATGTAATTGTTTTCAGTCACTTAAGTATTCTGATCTAAGATATTATGACACCCTGCTGAAGGTGGGACATTATTTTATAACCAAATGGCTAACACTGTTCATCTTAATGTCCTTCTTTTCTTTTACAGCCAGTAATTACAACACCAGTAACAGAAAGTGAGGTACCAATAACAAATGAAATGTCTTCCGTAAAGCCTATTGAACCTCCAACCTCTGTTTCAAGTGCTAAAGATGAGACTGAGGCCCCTGAGGAGGAACAAAAAGTTATTGAGAGAAATGAAGAGAATTCAAGAGTAACGGTTGATGGTGTAATAGAAACTGAAGAAAAAGAAATGACTGAAGTTGAACCTCCGAAATCACAAATAACTCTGAAGTACAACTATCCAGAAGGTTAGCATAAAATGTGACATTTTAATATGCTCTTACACTACCCTAACATTGGTAGTAAATAGTTGTGTATATGTATGTAAAAAGTAGTTCAAATTTGGCTTTATTTTACATGTTCTAGCAGGTTAAAGCAATCAACAGGCAGTTGCTGTCTATTCCAGTGTACTCTTCAATCGTTAAACCAGTTGAAACACACTAACTTCTTTAAAACATGACAGGGTAACTATAATCCTCCACCTGAACCTTATTTTACTCATTCATTTTTAATTTCCTATCAAGTGAACATGGAGAAACAGGGTGAAATGTATATACTTTTTAGTGGCTTTTCCTGTTTAATGAAACAAACATGTTGATCCTGTATGGCATAAGAATTTCTCATGTTAAATGAAATAAGAATTGACTACTGGTTTAGTGTTTTCATGAACGCTGTTATGTCTTGCAGCTGTCATCTAATTTAGAACTCGATATATTTCACGTAGTTAGGATAAAAATTTGCAATTCCTCAGATTTTTTAAATTCTTCAAAACATAAATCTTCAATTTGGTACACGTGTTTCTCAGCTGGGACTTCTACAATAGTTTTATATAACTTCAATGCACAGCTATTAAACAGATTTAAAACAATTTAATTACTTTGTTCCAATAAACCGAAACAGAAAAATCTGTCCTATTGGTCTTTTAGATCAGTGGAGTCCTCTTAATCAAGAAGGAAAGAAACAGTACGACCGTGCCTTCCTACTTATGCTTCAGATACAGCCCTACAAGAAGCCTCAAGGATTACCTAATTTAGATATAATCAAAGACAAGGTTTGCTTTCACTGTTTCTTTTCTCCTTTAAAGCTATAAAAAAATCCTTCAATATATATATTTTGTTATTTTGGAAACTAAGTTTTTTCTTACTTTTATAAATGCTTGTTAACTTTGTTTATTCGATGTGTCATTTTAATTATTAGGAGTTATGTTAAGAAAATAATGCTGTTTGTTTACATAATTTATTTGACACTGAATAGTGGCTTGCCCAAAGGTTTATTACTTAAAAAGCAGATGATGTATACATTTAAGTATTTTAAAATTCAACTGTTCAACTCTAAACTGTAATGGTTGTCATTAATTTAGTGAATATTTAATATAATGTTCACAAAACTTTTCCCCTTGGATAAGTAAAACCTTCAAGCTACAAGCAAATAAGATAACTGTTGATTAACCTTTCCTGTAAAAAGTGACTTTATTAAATTATAATATAATCATTTATCTAACATTATTGCTCATGAAACTGCCTAGCAACCAGCAAATGAATCCCAGTAGACTAAGTTTTTTTTTCTTAGTTTCTAGTTATATGTAACCAAGAAATACTGAGTGTCTGATATTTTAGTTTGTATTCATCCTATGCTCATGAAACTGCCTAGCAACCAGCAAATGAATCCCAGTAGACTAAGTTATTTTTTCTTAGTTTCTAGTTATATGTAACCAAGAAATACTGAGTGTCTGATATTTTAGTTTGTATTCATCCTATTTGAATCTTAGATGTGTCTGCATTTCAATTTTCCTAGGGTGTTCAAACCAAAGTCACTGATATGAAATCGCGACCTCCCCCTCTTCAAGCAAGAGATCATCCAGATCCTTTTGTACCAGCTTATGCACGGATGGGCACTCCTCGGCTTGTAATAATTTTTTAAATTATTTTGTTAACCTAGAAATTTGTGTGTATTACAGACAAATTAGTTTATACCACGGATAATTTGGTATATATGAATTTATAAATCTTGTTAATTGGTATGTTCATATAAGTACAATATGTATGGATATACTTGACTCAGGCTTAAGATAGACTGAAAAAATATTGAATGTTTCTCTTGACATCTTGAAGGAGAGGACTTCAACATTTTCCATCTATCTTCAGTATATTACTATTTAAAGACAATCTCCATAAGAAAAGCAGCAATAAACCCTATTTTCAAGCACTTGCTTTTCTTCTTTCATATTAAAGGATACAAGATATTATAAGCACAAGCAATCAGTAACATTTACAAGATATTATAAGCACAAGCAATCAGTAACATTTAATTTTTAACACACATCTTTAGTTAATAACTAAAGATGTGTGTTACAAATTAAATT